GGCCTGGCTTCGGGGGTGGGCGTCTCCTCCGAGAGAGCTTTTGTCACACGCGGCAGGCTGCAGTCGCGCAAAGAAATGCCTTATCTACCCACCCCCACATCGCTTCCTCAGAGGTTCATTTTGTGTCCCAAATCTAGCACTGCTCAGCTGCACCGCGCTGGCCGCCCTGCCCCGTGGAGACGCTGGTGGGCATCAGGGGCCGGGCACAAAGGGGAGCAGACCTCCACCCTGGGGTGCCTCAAAAATGTGCCTCTTTCGCCCGCTGCACAAGACTGGAGACCTTCAAACCCAGGGCAGAGCCGGCGGCTGGCAGACAGCGGGAAGCAAGTCCCCGGGGCTGCCGTGCAGCCTGTAATTGCGAGGTTTAACCCATGACTGCCCCGTTTTGTGCTTGCTGTTTGGGTTCTTTTAACCAGGGAAGACAAGTTTTTGACACACTGAAGCAGCCTGGAAAAGAGAACCAGCTGTGCCAGCGGGACCGAGGCTGTTTCACGAACTCACACGATGCACACCCACCGGGGCCGTGCTGGGTCCAGAGTCCTGTAACAGCAGAAAACCTTCAGCGTCAGGCAACAGTCAATATTATTAACAGCCAATATTATCTAGCACCTCTGCTTTCTGTAGTCAAACGTTTTTTTTGGAAATAAAACTTCAGATTTTTAAAAATACTGCATAGGGAAACAGCATAGGCGCAAATATTTAGGAAATTTTGTGGTCCTGCTCCATTTGCAAATTATGCCTTAAATCAGCATTGAATGAACTGCTTAGGAACATAATCAATGCTATTCTCCTTTTATTCTCAGCTTAGGTTAAAATTTTCAGCATTTTCTGGGACTTCAGTTGGGATGACTCATTTTTACAGGCAAGATTCAAGTAGAAACAATTTGAAGTGACACTAAGCTTTCAGTATAGTAAACATTCAGACTTATTCCAGAGACAGCAACTCATTCAATTCATGTATTATATTTTCTTTGCATTATATAAAACCTTTTAAGAACCTTCCCCCACTTTGCAGTTCTATACATAAGTATGAAACCATATGGCTCAAGGAAAAGCCTATTAAAGTATCAGACTACTGAAAATGAAGGAATTCAGACTATTAGAAGCCAAGGCATGCTTCTCCCTTCTTAACTGTGTGCCACCCCCAGATGAAGCCAGTGTTACAAGCAATTACCAGCAAACTACAGAACAAAACTCTCTGAGCACATTAATCTGCTCCCAAAGCACCAACGTCCATGCTTACAGACGGATTAGAGATCCCGAGTTACCTTTAATCCTAAAGACAGATCCATTGCAGCAGCATCCCCAAAGTGCAGACAGGACCCCGAGCCCTCCATGCCGCCCCTGAGCTGGTGGCTCCGTGCCCGGCACAGCAGCTGGCCATCAGCTTTGCTCCCAGCGCTGGGAAAATACACGTCGTGCACGCAGGGCCGGCTGGAGCTGCAGCTGCAAGGGCTTACCTTCCAATTTCACACAACCTGAGATGCGTTTTACCTGCTGGATGTAGCTCCGATAGCACATCCCTGTCTCCTTTAGTCAGCCCTTCTGCTCCCCTCCCTCCCCAGTTTTCTCATTGCCCCCCACAGTGGGAGATCCTTCGAGTGCTTCCATCCTGTTTTTATTGACCCTTCCTCAGCATTCCCTTGCCAATTTTTGGCATCATTCTAGCATGACATCCCCCCCTCCTTGATATGGATACCTCATGGTTCTACAAGCAGACTCAAGCGAGCCTTCTGTGAACATTTGATTCCTGGTGCTCAAGCAAAGCAGAAGGCAGGTCTTGGTTTAGGTTCTGTGAATGCCCAGAGCCTGTGCTGCTGCCCATAGATCCCACGAGAAAGACTATTAATGTCAACGGCAATGACTACTGAAACCACAGCCTCTTGTCTGAGTCTTCTTGAGTTATGGGAAGAGATCAGCCTTCCACAGCATGTTTTCCCAGGATAAACCTAACTGGCTACTCTGCAAGGTGAAATTCCTCCAGGATAAACCTGGGCAAAATCCTGCAGGCTCCCTCTCCGCCGTGATTTCTAAATGAGAGAAACCAGGAGGAAGCCAGAGAACAGATTTGCTATCGACCTGGTTGTGGGAGAGAGGAGGAATTTCACCTTGCAGAGAAGCTGGTTAGAATTGAAAACGCCATCCACAACATACTTGGAAAGAGGGCAACCATGGACAGCCCTGCGGCACCCGCCGTCCCCATCGCTCTCTGCTGACATCGAGCTGCTCTGCTGGAGAGCTGTGTGTCAGTATGAAGCAAGGGCCTTCACACAGACACAGCGTGCACCACCACACTGAGAAGGTAAACTCCTGCCTGTGTTCATCCCCAGCCACAGCAACTGGGCAATGGCTCAGCAGCAAGGTCACCAAGGCCTTTTTTGGCCATCCTCTACCCAAGGCCATACTGTGCTCTGCCTCGGAGCAGGGTGTCTGCTCTGTTACTCTCCTCCAGCTGTGAAGAGATGGCTTCTGAATCTAGAGGGAAGATGACATCTCCTTGTATTCATTGCATTCCCTTCTCCACGACAGCAGGGTCACGGCATCAGGCTCGGCTGGTGCGTGCAGAACAGGCACAGGGATGCTCTGAGTGCAGAAGGGAACGGAACACCCACGACTTGATGTAAACCAAAAGCGTGCTGCAGGGATGCTGCTATCAGAGTTACACCACAGACTTTCACACTGCAGCACAAACCCTGGGCTGCAACAAGAATTATCAACACCAATATCCACCCAGATAAGCACTAATTTTTTCTTTTTCTTGCTTTTTAAGACCCACTTGTCCCTAGTGGTAGCAGCCAAACAACAAACAGAGGTGAAATAGGCAAATGTATGTGTTGTTTTCTTTTAAAAAACCTCAATATTAAAACCACCAGAGGTAAAAGAATTTCATTCTGGGCTGCATTTGACAAACAGAAGGGAGGACGATGAGTGCTGCAGGCCCCACCATGTGCCAGCTCTGGGCTGTCATCGCTCTGACCTCCTGTTTCAAAGGTCGAAGGGCCATAAGACCAGGCAGAGCTTCCCGCATCACCTGGCCCCAAACAATCCCTTTATTTTGCCCAAGTGACTCTCCTGCTCCCAGCAGAAATGGCCTGAGCCAGGGCAGTTGGAGACTGCCTCTCCCCGGCAGCCAGTGGGGACCCTGGGGACAGAATGGGCCAGGGCTAGCTCTCTTCAGGGTCACATCCTTTTTGGTTGAGTTCTGGAATGGGCTGTAAGCAAGATACATATTTTTATGCAGTCTCAACACTGACAAATAATAGAACAACAAAAATAAATAAATAACCATCTAGGGCTCACTCCTGCAAAGAACCAAGGCCAGCGCCCGGTGCAGAGGGTCTGACAGGTCCAACCCACAGCATGTTGGATGTGCTCTGGCTGGGAACCACGCGTGGCCAGGCCGAGGCACCTGGCTTCTTCTGACCCATTTCCATCAGCAGGTCCCCAGTTTCTCTCAAGTCGCTCCTGATTCATCTGCAGTGAGTAACAAGGGGGTAAACACCAACATTTTGGCTTTTCTCGTGCCACAAACATAACCGATGGAGCTCAACATAAAGATGAATTCTGCTAACCTTTATCACCCCAGTCTACATGGCACAGTTAAATAGAATTTTATTTTCAATAAATATACAATCTGCATCATACTGGACAATATGCTGTGGAAAAATAAAATGTACAGAAGCAACCAACAGGACAGCTTGACCATAGCTAAGTTCACTTGGTGATCTGGAGAACTACCTGGGTTAACACACAAGACATAGAAAGAGCCACTGCAGTCTGTGAGAAAATTAAAACTCTGTACTTTGGGTGTTGCTAACGGCAAAAGTCCCCGCAGCAGGTTTCTTTTGCACAACATAGGTTTGAAAAGACATGAGCTGGCTTTCCCAGTATGAATGCTACTGGAAATGTTTACTTTGCTATATCATCACTGCATCTACTTGACACACACAGACTGCTATCGGGAGTGGCAGGTCTCACCGCTGACGGGATATCGGATCCATTTGACATGGGGCCACACGTGTGTCCCGGCACACAAATGCACGCGTACGTACTAACAGGAGTTCAACTCTGTTAAAACTAGTACAAGGACAAAACTGGAGTCAGAATCAATTGCACCACAGGTTCTACTGTTTAAAAAAATATTCTAGCCTAATTACCACGTTCACCAATGAGAGCACACAGGTTACTTATTTCTCCGAGAGGATGAGCCATGGATTTGGACCAGAAGGACAGCAGAGGCAACTCCTAGCTTCTGCACCCGCTCAGGGCTTCTCACGGCTCCTCCATGTGCAGCCTGT